AAATTAAATATTAAACTTGTTATAATTATAACAAATTTAATTTGCAACATTAGTGAGATGTAGCTTTTCTATTTCGATGAACACAGGAGGAACCACTCTCATATTGGAAGCAACTGTAAGTTTCCTGTATCATAAAACACATAAACTCTATCATTTTGAGTACTTTTTGTGGGAAAAAAATTGGTAGGAAGGAGTCACCAAATTAAATTTCGCCTTATATACATTCAGTTAAAATCATCAATACTTGTAATGGTTTGATAAAAATGGTGCATTTGATCAAACATGCTTATCGACAACGATGATATATTTTACTCATTAAAATATCATAAATGTTGTAAGATATCGTCAAACAAATGTATATATGACGTATCCAACACATGATCATCTTTATATGAATAAAACCAAATTAAATTATATTAAAATTTTCACTAAATCTTGTTAGTATATTGTGTTTTGGTTGGACAAACTATTACCAAAAGACGATAAGATATTGCCATAATAGACGGCTGAGTGCCTGAGTGGTTTATGACCTCTTAGAGCAATTAGTATAGTTAGTATTTGACATTACTATTGACTAAAATTTCTTCAAAAGTTTTGCCGAAATACGGACACGTACAGTCCTTGTATTTTTATATGTACTTAAATACATAAATTTGTACCCACTTACAATGCATTTTGTAGACTCCACAGCGTCAAAACTTAATTTCCATGCAAGAGCTAACTGAGCAATACTTATTCGGACAATAACCATCACCTCCCCTAAGGTTTTCGGCAATTTAAATGAACCCCATACATATTTTGAAAATCCAACGCCTCCCATTTCATTTTGCAAAACTAGCAGCCACCTCCCATTCAATTTATCACTATTCAATCTCTCAAAATTTGAAGGTACTTATTGAAATTTACCCGTTTTGAAAGAATGCAAACATTGGAATTATATAAATACATCCTAAAAAACGTAATTCATGAAAACAAAATAAATCATAATGTATATTCAAGTATCTCTCAATTATTTTTACATTCCAAATGATATAATCTTCGAACATCTCTATAATGATGCTCTATATAGGAATAACTTCCATATAATCATAAAAAATTATGGTCTTAACTTGGACCAATTATAAATAAGAATAAATTTCACATTGTAATAAGTTATAATTTTTCTAGATTCGGTCTTAAGGAACTTGCCTCTACATAGTAATAAGTATATGTATATTGTAAAAAATATATATTATGCTACATTAAAGATTTAAGATGAAATAAAATATTTATCTAAAATTGTTTGAGACAATGATTTATATTTTATAATTGTTACAACATATTTTATTTTGTAGGTACATAATAAGTCGCCAGCATGAACGCCTTCTTACTGAAGCCAAAATATTTCTAGCTTCTCAAACATGTTTAAAGCTTCTTGACACGAAACTTTTGGTATTCTCGTACTACCATCATCAGGATTATCTCCTCCCTCTTTTTGTCTAATTCTAGTAATGATTTTTTCTTCAGTTAAAGTATACACGACTTGTTGCTCATTTAGATGATTAAGGAAGACATTAATATCCATCTGATTATTATAGTGAAGTTGTCGAATTTGATCACTCAATTCTGCAATGACTCCTTGATATTCATTTCCTTATTATCCTAATGCTACTAAACCAATGAATTGAAATCCTAACACTACTAAAACATGAATTGAAATCCTAATACTATTAAAACATGAATTATAAAATAAGAAATCAAAACAATAATTCTTGTAACTACACTTTTATTAAGTTATAACCTCCTCATAATAATAAATTTAGTTGATTTCAACATTATGACTATAGAGAGATTCTACTGTATAAGGTTACAATGTCAAATTGTTTGAAAATTATTTCTTCATCCATATGATATAACATTTCTATTTTATGTGAAAGTTATGACATATGACATTATATTCCCTTGAAATGTAAAAGTTTATAAAGCAATATACATATTAGTCGCATATAAATGACGTACAAAATCATTCTTAATCATGAGACTCTTAGGCTCCGTTTGGTTGCCAATTGGGAATACTACTTTTAGTATTCCCAAAAAAGTTAAACAGTAAAATACCCAAAAACTATGATTTTTGGGAATACTACTCCCAATATTATTCAATTTTTTTTAAACCCCTTAAATTTGATAATTTAATTAAATACTCCTAAATATTTTTTTAAAAATTACAAAAACACCCCAGTAATTCATATTTACCAGATTCCGGCCACCACTGCCGGAAAATGGCCGGAATCTGTTAGGATGGCGCACTACCGGCTGAATCTGGCCGGTAGTGCGCCGATCTAGCCTTTTCCAGTTAGATCCATGGTGGATCTGGCCGGAAAAGGCCAGATCTAAGGCCAAAGATCTGGCCGTTGACGGCCAGATCTTTGGCCGTAACGGTTTATAACGACGGCCAACAAACGGTCGTCGTTGACCATCAACGACGACCGTTTGTTGGTCGTCGTTGACGAGAAAATACGGCCAGATCCACCGTGGATCTGACCGGCAAAGGCCATATCGGCGCATGACCGGCAAGATCCAGCCGGTCATGCTCCAATATGGTGAACCCGGCCACCCTCCGGCGGTGGTGGCCAGCTGTCCGTATTTGACATTGGGTTGGGGGTGTTTTTGTTAACTTTTAAGATTTTATTATAGGGGGTGTTTTGTAAATAAACAAATATAGGGGGTATTTTATTAATTTATAAATCCTACATCGTAATACCCGCCTAATTCCACTTTTTTTTAACTTTTTTCAGAAAACTTTTCCCAAAAACACCCAATTGTGAACCAAACGAAGCCTTATCTTCTCATAATAAAATCCAACACAATTTGAAGAAAAATCCATGGATTCGATGGTTGACTTGTGGCATAATTCAAGTGATAAGACAAGACGCAAGAAGAAAAAAAAAAGTCTAAAACATTAGCTCGTATATTAAATGGTTGATAATGTGGGATGATATATTAGCAGCTAAGCACCATGGTTTTCGTTTGCACTATGATTAGAATTGAGAAGGAAGCTCCGCTGGTGCTGGGGGTATTTGATTTGTATTCAATTGGATTCAGAAAAAAATTCAACAAGACAGTAGTACTGCTATAATATGAGGGGTGCATTAAGGAAACCACATTCAAACGGAACTCAGTTTTTGTTGACATAATGATGAATGATAGCTACATTTCAATTCACACAATTCATATTTGCATTTCTGGAAATCATAAAACAAGTGAGATTTCTTGTGGCTGTAGTTCTCACTTATGTTATTATGTAGAGGAATGACCAGTCATTTTACTACTATACGGAAGAAAATTCTTTTGGTGACCAGAGGTATCTGGATCAATTTATGCATACCTCAACTAATCTACTGGGGCTTTGAAGTTGACAATTAGATAAGCCCCTCAGTGGCCACTCTACCCACCTCTATTAGCGTCTATAGAGACTCGAACTCAATAGCTCATAGAACTTCTTTTTGCTCTTTTACCATCAAACCATCCAATAGTGGCTTATACAGAGGAATATTCATACTGCCATAACAATATCTTGAAAAATCTAGAGTTTATTAAATTTGATCATTTATAGCTGGGGAATTAATAGGAAATAATGTGTTTTTTTTTTGTGTTTTTTTTTTTTTTTTTTTAAGTGAACTCCTTAAAGAAAGGTTGAAAGGACCAAACATAATTAGATCCCGAATCCAAATAATATGTGAATTAATTGGTTGAGTCAAATGTATCCATTATACAAGAGAGATTAGACGAGTGTTTTCTGTTCTTTTCCCCTTTTTGGTGGATAAATAAGTGTTTTCATGTTCAAGATTCAAATATTAGAAAACTGAATATCCATATGGAGAAATTCAAAAGAAATAACCTAGTGAAATGCTGACAACAAATTCACCAATACAGTTACATAACACTTTCTATTGCGCCTTGGTATTGGGTCGATCAAGTGCATTCCAACAAGAGTGTGTACCCATAGAATTAGGATCTTGTCATAATATTTACTTGCTTAGCAGAATAATAATAATAAGAATGCTTATCGTTTAATATTATAAATTAACTACTTTTGGGTAGCCGAATGATTTGATAAGGACTCTTGAGTTATACTAAAGAGGTCACGAGTTTGAATCCCTCCTTGGTTGTTAATAGGGATAACTCTTACTCGGTTGGTAGTTCTAGGGTCTTAGGGGATTAATTGAGGTGCACGTAAGCTAGCCCAGACACTTCGGTTATATATATATATAAGTCTATTTTATCTTAAATTTGAAAATTTGAATAGGCAATGTATACAAATTTAATTGCATGGCTGAAATTTTGATGGGATGTGATGTAATAGTTTTGAAATATAAACAATTTTGGAGGAAAAAAAGTAAAAAAATAAAAAAAAAATAACAAAAGAGAGAGAGAAGGTTAACATGGAATTGAGTTGGGTATGTGAAGGGAAACAGCATGAATAATTGAACAGGAGTCTCCACAACAAAATCCTCAAAACAAGTGGTGAAGTGGGTGAAGCACTTTGCCTTATTGAGGATGAGAAATGACTATCTTTGTTGAATTTGAAAGAGATTTCTTGTATGGAATTTGACTACTAGGCTTATCCTTGAGGGTATTGCAATTTGCAGGTTAGAAAGAATGATAAGGATAAAAAATCTTACCATTTGAGAGGCCACTAAATAATATGAGGTCAACCATAATGGAAGGGACAAGGTGCTGCTTCTCCAGTCCCAGCTGCTTTTCATGGTTAAAGTTCCGGATTATACACAACTTGGCTACTTGTCATTTCACGTGTTGACTTGTAATTTTGATCTAGTTTTTGTGGTGGGATTAGATTAGATTGTGCATGAGCCCGTTTAGTTTCTGTTTGCCGCAAATATTCAAAACAAATATTATTAGTTCATAATTCACATCAAAATCAAGGAAACTAACTGTTCATCCAAGTTATGCAACAACAACAGCATCCTTTTTTCCTATGGATGTTTCAGTAAGTAGAAATGTTAAAAACAACAATCGACCATGATTTGTCTATACAGTGATCAGGCTAAAGATTAATTAAATTCCCAGGCTACTGGAACACGTTTACAATTTGCTCGAAAAGTAAACAGCATCGAAGAGAATATTTGTGTAGATGAAACATTGAAACCTAAAAGAAGCCCAGTCATGTGACAGCTTCTCTAAATCCTGTTTGCAGACTAATAAACTAGCTGTGATCATCAAATTAAGAAACATGAGAGCATATTATGGTACAAAAATTGCCTAGATCAGAAATCAGTACTGGTATGTGCCTTGTTGCCCACTGATGTTGTGGTAAGCACTGGGTGGAGCATTAATGTTGTGATAGGCCCCCTGCTGAGCATTCGTCGTCGAGTAGGGGCTCTGGTGAGCGTTTATGTTTCGGTACGGGCTGTGCTGTGCATTTATGCCCTGATAGGGGCTTTGCTGTGAATTCATGTTATTATACGACCTTTGCTGCGCATTCATGTTATGATATGAGCTTAGTGGCAGCGCATTATTCATGTCATGAAATGAGCTCTGCTGCGCGGCCGTGCTATGATATGAATTTTGATGCACATTCATGTTTTGATACGAGCTTGGTTGTGCACTCATGTTCTGATACGAGTTTTGCTGGGAGTCCATGCTCTGGTAGGGGGCCTGTTGGGCACTCATATTCGGCCCAGAAGAGGTCATATAGGACTTAAGTATACTCTGTGCAGCTGCCAAATGCTCAGAAGATCCACGGATGTCAACCACACACTCAGAGCCTCCGGACTGAGGATCTTGGAGCTTAATCCTAGCTCCAGCAACCTAAAATTTATGAAAGAGACAATCAGAAGTCCATCTGCCATATTATATATAATTATACACTTTATATAAGCTCCTTTAATATTTCTGGCAAATCTGACATTTCAGAAAAATAAAATCCTTTGTTTGTAATATTCATATATATGCCCTGGAAAGGAGCGACTAAGAAATGTAGCTACCAGCAAGGATGAAAAGAAAAATAATAAAACAAACATCCAAGGATATTTAGGCTCCGTTTGATTCACTATTTTAGGAGTTTCTAGAATAGTCTTTTGAAAATAGTTGAGTTGAGTAGTATTTTAAGAAGTTTTTTGTACAATTTTCAATAACTTTTCTGAAAATATTTAGATTATTTTTTAACCCCCTGAATTTGTTAATTTAACTAAACACCTTCACCCACCCACATTTGTCAAATTCCAGCCACCACCGTCGGAAGGTAGCAAGAATCTGCTGTAATGACGCACTACCAGCTAGATATGGCCGGTAGTGCGTCGATCTGGCCGTTGACGGCCAGATTTGGCTAGATCTTTTGGCCGTTGTCGACGACCAGATCTTGGCCGTCAAGATCAAATTGCACTCATGCCTCTCCCGCATCAAGTTGACCGCCCCCTCCCTATCCCTAAGTAGTGATTCTATCAATCATGTACGTAGGTGGGGCCCTCCATTCTGATTGGTATATCATGAAAAAAGAAAGCCATTTGCACCAGGCGCACTGCGCTTTCCCTTTCCCAGATGTTCGCCTTTCTATTCTAAGTCAAGTAACCGTGACCTGCAGAAGACTGGAGCCTCGTCAACATAAAACTTCCCCAGGGGATAGGAACGTATTGAATCAACGAGCTGGCAGACAGGACTTTAGCGAACAGGCAATCCCCAATTCCAGCTAATCACTCTACTCCTCCTGTGAACCATTGATGAGCCAGCCGAGCTTGTTTGTTGAGTTTGATTTTTTCTTTCTCTGAGTAATGCCCTTTGATGTAAAGGGTAAAAAAATGAGCTAAGCGCCGAACGAAGAACTATACCAAGGTGAGTACAAGGATGTGGTGAAGCATACTGAGAAAAAAAGCTCTGAACTGAACCATATCGAGCACAGGTCTCACTCTACAAGTTTAGTTTGATGAGCTCCTATCGAACCTGTGAAAGTTCCGTTTTTGACTAAATTAAGAAAGACAAGCTTTACTGCAACGAAACGACGGCCAAGATATGGTCGTCATCAATGGCCAAAAGATTTGGCTAGATCTCGCCGTCAACGGCCAGATCTGACGGCCATAGATCTAGCCTTTTTCGGCCAGATCCGCAGTGGATCTGACCGGAAAAGGCCAGATCGGGCCACTACCGACCATATCCAGCCGGTAGTGTGCGACGGTGGTGGCCGGAATCTGACAAATGTAGATAGGTGGGGGAGTTCTTGTCAATTTATAAACTTTTATTGTTGGGGGTATTTAGTTAAATTAACAAACTAAAGGGTTAAACATAATCAAAATATTAGAATGGTATTGTATTTTGAAGAGAATTTTGAATATTGAAACAAATGCGTATTTGGATAGGATTGGATAGGATAGTAGAGTAAGATAGGGTTAAAATAGTGAACCAAATGAGCCCTTATTTTCTGATATCCAAATAATAGAAATTTCTATCATCCAGGATAGGAGCCACCACTACGAAGTGTAGCCACCAGCATAGCCACACTACCAACTACAATTACATTCTAACCCCAAGTTAAAGAAAAGGAAGCCAGATGATACTTTCTCTCCAAATAGGTGTTTTATGTGTAGAACGATGTGCAAAGTTTCAACCATATTTTTCTTCATTGCTCAGTTCCTTTAAAACTATGGTTTAAGATCTTTAAAGAGGCTAAAATAGCTCTAGTGAGTCAGAGGCTTATGATGCATCATTTACTGAACACCATAATGCATCTAGAGGGATATGCAAATATAGGAGATTTCTACCATCCTAGATGCTGGGGACGTTCAAGTTAGGAGCATTCCATGAAGATTACTTAATCCTAATCCAATTGCCCAAACTTTCCTCCTACGATTCCTTCCTCATAAGGTAGAATCCTAATCCAATGGCCCAAACTTTCCTCTTAAGATTCCTTCCTCATAAGGTAGAAAGAACCATAAATAAATAATCACCAATTTTCCCCAAAAGACTAGAACATGCTCTACATAAACTAAAGGTTGATCATCCTAGTTAGTCCCACCGTAATTATACCTAACATTCCATCCCTTCTATTAGAATTACGGTAAAAAAAAATACCTCACCGACATTCGAAATGCTGCTCCCCCCAGTTTCCATAATATAACCAATTGTGTTGTTATGAATCCTGGTCTCCAAACCACTGTTCATATTTGGGTACCTGAAATGTTCACAGACCAACAACAGAATCAATCACACTATTTAAACATAATATTTGTAACAGAAGTATATGCAAAAGGCACCAGTACCCAGTAGCAGGTGGGGGAACAGGATAACTCTGAGGTTCGTAGTCACGTCCACCCTTCAGAAGAGCATCAATAAATTCCCAGTTATCACTGACAGATATATTTATTGTAATCTTAAAACATTGAAAACACTTAAAGAAGCTTGCTCATTAGTTTGAAATATGCCTCCAGGAAAAGATAACTATAATAAATGTCAAGCTATCATGCATGATAACATTAACATAATAATTGAAATCATTTATCTCAAGAATGCTAATTATCAGACATTGATCAATTCAAGAATATAAAACAGTCCATATAAGCAGTATGACAATTAACCTTTATAACAACTGCACAAAAACACTTAACCTCAGAGTAAACAAAATAAACAAGATTTATAAGAAAATGAAGAGGAAAGAAATAGAAAACAAATACCCTGAGAGAATCATATCCACCAGAACTGCCGGCTCTCATAGTGCCAGATAATGGGGGTCCCCTGCCTGGTAAGCTTCCAGCAGAGCCAAATCGCTGGACAGGCCCAACAGGAACAGGTTCTGCTCCAACATCCCGCAGAGTTCTCACTCTAAGTCTTGATCCAATCTCTGCCAAAGCATCTTTAGCAACAGCAAAATTTCCAGATATCTGAATGTAAAAGGGAAGGATTCGTTTCATAGATGCAAAGCTGAAGGAATGAACAAAAAATTCAATTTGATAAGGCGATGTCTATAATGAAATGCCTTATGCAATCATATCACCTGCACAAGCTCTTCATCCTCAGAGGCACACTTAGGCTTATCATCTTTAGAGTAAACACGAATGTCTGCCTGGGTTCTCCTTCTCATCTCATTGATAACATGACCTCCTTGCCCAAGGATGCATCCAACCTTACTTGATGGAACAAGAAGTCTAGTAACGATAGTACCTCTCTCAGAGAATTCACCTGCTTTATTCTGAAGCTGAAGGATTGCATCAATAGTTTGCGATCTTGGGTTCCAAAGCCCCTGAAACAATATCCCTACAATGATCAAAAACCATATGAAGTAAAAGATGGGGATGTAGTTACGTGTAATAAGAAAAGAAAAAAGATGGGACCTCAATAGCAGAGACACGAATCACACGCTCATCTGAATCTGTCGATGCATCTTCAACATGAATACTAGTTCCAGTCTCCTGCTGTAACTGTTTTACATTAAAGCCTCCCTTGCCTATAACTCCACCGATCTTCCCTGCCGAGCACAAAATTTTCATAGAAAATTCAGCTGAAGTTTCTCCCCTGTGTCCAGGAGGAACATCATTAAAGCCACCAGATCCAAATCCAGAGGGCTGGTTTCCATATCCCCCCATCCATGGCATCGGTGGCATACCATGAGAACTAGAATTCCTAGGTGGCCACATTGATTTTCCTGGTGAATGCACACTTGTCGTGGGAGGTCCAGGAGGATGAAAACTTTGGCCCCCATAAGGCACAGGGAAGTTTGTAGGAGGTTTGTCTTTGCGTGGATTTTGATGCAATAGAGTAGACACTTCATAGAGAGCCCTCTTTGCAACATCTGGTTTTCCAGATATCTGCAAAATACCTTATACAATTACACATTGTAGGGAATTGTAAGACAATGCAATATTGTCCATAACAATTTTCCCAAACTATAAGCACATCATAGTTCAACCAGGAATGTAGGAAAAATATATCAAGGAAATAATGGTCTAGGAACAAGGAATTCACAATGTATAAGTAGTAGATAGAATGAGGTACACAGTACAAATGGTGTCGTTGATAACAGAGAGCTATAATCTCAGTAACATCATGGCATCTTCAATTATTTGAATACATCAATCAAGTTGATTTTTACAGTCTGTGCACAGGTAACATAAGCATAAATTTCATACATACACATTCAGAAGCAGCCAAGATGCAACAAAATATCTTGAATCTCTTAAGATATGACTTAAGTGAGATATATATAGAACTATATCAATGAGACATGCTATTGACATATGCCAGAAAGTTATACCAACTCTAAATAATAGTGATACTACTTAAGGGTGGTCAGACTGATAGTCGAGTACCTATAATAGAATCAAGCACACAACCAAATGAGGAGGGCTCATGAAGTGAGGAGTTATCCTTACGCATTTGAGACTTGTCAATAGCTGTGACACCTTCGAAAACCAATGAATCACAGATCAAGAATCAAGAACACATCAAAATCTGCAATTCAAGGTATTTGGATTCACCCAACTTAAGACCACAAACAACAAATCATGCAATTGGAACAATCCAATTGATCTGAACCCAGCAAAGTCAAAACCGGTATCAAAATCATGCTGCACTACTCCCGTATCAGATGAGATTTGAAGATTTATGGATTATGTTGTTTAGTAAAATTATTCAAAATGAATTCCTTCCTTCAACCAGTGTGGCAGTACCTAATTATACAGAATACAGGCAAACATAGCCAAGATGCAGCCAAAATTATAAATTATTATACTAAATAAGATTGCATTTCACATTTTGAAAATTATCATAGAGACTCAAACTAGGAACATAGCTCTGGTATCCATGCATGTGGGCTGGGGCAATTGACTATAAAATAGTGTTTACTGATGGAATATATTCATCATATAAAAGGCTGAAAATCTTTTAAAACTTTTAGAAAGTAAGGTAGGCATAATCCAGAAATGTCAAGGAAAAATTTAAAACTATCTTCCAAAAGGAAAATTAATACAGCACGGAAATGACCAAGAGACAACAAAAGAATAGACCAAGGAGAAAATAACAGAAGCTCAAAATATGACAAGCAAGATTACTTGCTAAAAACTTATATTCCTAAAGGGTCGTTCACTGGGTTACTCCTTTGGAGCCAACATAACCACACAAGCAAAGATCTCTCTACCCACCTCTTCTGCAGGCCTGATATCATCAATAGCATTTGCGTCCCACCACTTAGTCAAAACATGACTGAATCCTCCAGGTGCCTTCATGTTTGGACACACTTCTCTCCAACTCAAACTTGCGCCAAAAACTAATTCCTTCTGGAACACTTTATACCACTAAATGGATCACTTCAGCTCTTTAAGAAAGCAGACAGTCACTGACCTCTCTGGAAAAGAGCACCTGCAGCCCACTATGCTGATTCACAAGGTGGAACTTAAGTGAGAAATCCATCAATACCGATTCACAAAGGTCCCAATAAATCTCAAAAGTGAAAAAAGATATGTTTCTTAAAATACTGCAAGTCCTAGAACATTCTCGGGCACTGCGAATTCTTGTACATAACAACACTAATTTTAATTTCTAATAAGCCTTTTATGAAAATTTTCTAATGTACCCTTTTCCAAACGAGCAAACTTCAACAAGTGACTGCAGGAAGTAACACCTAAAGCTACTACACTGAGTTTAGGATCAAGGGTTCCCAAGACACAAATGATAAGTCTTATGCCAGGATTCAATTTATCCATCTAACGACTACACATGTAACATCAATAGCACCTTGGTCCTTGAAAAATCAATTAACCTTAGTATACAATGGGCCCTTTTAAATAAGACAAGAGAAGTCCTTGCTTAGTGATGAATGCTGCTAAAAGTTCCATTTGGTAAGGCTTGGTTATGAGAAGACCTAGACTAAATCCAAAAACCAGAAGCAGCCTCATTTCACAGTCTAAATCAACAAAAGACAGTCACAATCTTAGAATGTTGACCAAGTGGTTAAATCACTAACCCGCAAAATCTCATTGAAAGATGTTGTGGTTAGGCAACCAAGGTCCTAACTAATAGGAATGGACAATTAACATATAAATAGGCCAGACAATCTAATAATTATCTCCTACTATCAAACATTTAGACAGCTTAGAAAACCTAGCATAACAAGAAAAAAAAAAAACTGCATAAAAATAATGCAGAAAAGCAACACCATCTTAGTACACCCCATTTTATATACATCAGAAATCCCCCAAACCAGATTAGCTAATTCAATTTCAAAACTGAGAACCTCCCAATCCTTGTAATCTTTGGAAAGCAAGAAATTCTTAACTTTT